AAGGGGAGCTGGAAAGGACTCGTACTCTCAGACAGTGGATTCTGAACTGGATGAGACTAACGCCCAGCACCCTGGGACCCTGGATGACCCAGACAGCCTCTCTGTGCCTGCCCACCATCAAAGACAGGACAGGAAGAACTGGAACCTCGATTAGGGGATTGCGGTGAGACTTCAACGACAAGGTGAAGCTAAAGATGCCTCCTCAATGTCACAACTTTCTGACAAGAACTGGGGACCGGGTCAAACAGAACAGGGGATGCCCAGTTCTGCTCCCTGCCAGCGGGGCCACTTGGGGGAGTAACGCTAATCACTAGTAATCACAGTGCAAACTCCAATACAGGGTGTTGCACATATTAACTGACAATGGCTGTAAGCACGGGGTCATCAGAAAAGTAAATTAGCAGAACTAAGTTATCCTATTTACAACCAAGACTTCAGCGGCAGCCTACACGGCGGGAACTATAACGAAGCTCTCAGCAGAGGGTTGAACGAAAGCACCTTGAGGTCCTGAGAAGCAGACAGACAGGTCAGCTCCACAGGTGGCCCAGGAGCATTTGGACAGAGAGGCTTCCGCAGCAGTCGCCCCAAAGGAGCTCTGCCCGATCCCAGGCCTGTTCCTGTCCCCTGTCCTCGGCTCATAGGCTCACTCTCAGTGGAGCTGCCAGGCCAGGGCAGCCACTGCCCACAGATCCTAGCCCCTGCTGCCACAGGACCAGCGCTGCTGCACCCACCCCAGACACAGGCCCCTCCCCTCCTGCACCCTGATTTAGGGCTCGGCGCCCCACTGAAGGGCAGCCCCGGGAGCCTGCTGTCCCTCAGAGCCACCCTTCCTCCCTTCCATAGCTAAGCTGGACGGGAGGCAGGGGCTCTGGAAGCTACGGGACCCCAGTCCATCATCGCCAGCATCAACATCACAGGAGACAGGAAGAGAAGGAGACCATCACATGTGGGCCTTATAAAGTTACACTTTCTGGTTGTCACATAAAAAAGTAAAAAGAACCAGGTGAGATAATTTTACGAATACACTGTATTTAACCCTAAATTTCCAAAATATTATCACATAGATATGTAACCAATACAAAAAAAATTCATGAGAAGCTTTACTCTTTTTCCTACTAAATCTATAGTTTGGTATATGTATATATGACTTGTGGCCCCTCTCAGTCTGGACCAGGCTGCGAGTGGTCAGTGGCCACACGTGTGAGCCAGCTCAGGTCCAGAGCATCGTTCTCCCCACAGGAGAACGTCCAGGTCGACACGCAGCTCGCAGGGCTGGGTGAGTGTGGTGCTCAGCACATTCGCCTCCAGCGTGGTGGGGAAATGGGAGCGGGGCGATGTCTTCAGCACGTGTCAGCCTATCCCATATAGCCTGCCTTTTCCAGACCTGTGCCAGCTTTAAAAGTCTAACCGTTTGTCTCTGCTCACCAAAATACGCATGAGTTAAATATTTCAGTTATTGTTGGCTGTAATTTCAGATCTGCTCAATAGTCTCAACCTTTGCATTTGGGAGGAGGCAGATCATTGCACGGGTACTTCTATGAGCACAGGACAACAGCAAGCACAGAACCAATCGCCAGGTCGCTGCCCTCGATGCCCCTTAAACACTACTTAGGCAGCACCTCCAACATACTGAGCTCCCTTCCAGGCCCTGGCACATCACAAGGCACACACTCTGCCGTCGTGACGCTTGTGTTCCTGAGTGGATGACAGACCCCAGGCAGATAAACCCCAGTATACACACTCCACAGGGTGAGGGTCTGCCACTCTCCTGCCGCACCAACTGGACAGAAGCTTCTCAAGGACAAAAGGGATGTCAGACCCGTCACTGCATTCTGGGCAGAGGAATCATTAAATGTGTAGTTGCTGAATGAATGAAAACACAAATGAATAAATGAATGAATGAATGCATGCATGGTTGGGTTGTTGAAGACTGAATGGATCAGACTGAATCCAACGACTGCTACAATGCATGCCTATCGAATGAATGAAAAGGATGAAGCAAACTGAATGATTTCAATACCAAAAAACCCATATTGCTGGTCACGGTGCTTTTCCAGGTGGTCCATATGACGGCCCTATCAGAACAGCTCCTATTCAGGCTGTGGAGTTACCCACAGGTGTCTCCTATGTGCCATGCGATTTCTGGTTATTTAGATTATTGTGACACCCCTTGATTTAATCTTACCAGACTCGTTTCGAAATGTTACTGTTAGCTATTTTATTTTGTTTTGCTTTGTTTCTAATTGAAGCGATTGTGAGGGGATTTTGTATCATCTGTCACCAGAATAGAGCAGGCCCTTGTCAGCTTACAGCTGTATTTACCAAGACGGATTCCCTTGAGAGGACGAGCATAACTTAAATTTTACATCTACTGAGGCGGCTAGAGAAGCCTGGCTAGCGCAAATCCTAAGTTTTTCTAGTGATATTCTGGAGGACAGGCTCTGGGCGGGGCTGGCCTGCATCTGTTTCTCCTTCTGTTGATTATAGCCCCCCAGTTTTCCAGTACGGATCAAACTCCTTTCTTTGAGGGGGTGGGAGGTAACGAACTTCCCTCCAAATGTTGGTCAGGGTCCTGTGGTTTAGGCTCCAAATAGCCTGTCTCCACTCCTAGGCTACTGATAAGTCTGGGAAGTCACCAGGCCCACGCCTGTCCCTCAGACTGGGCCCCAGTCTCCTTCCCTGGGTCTGAAGGCTCACGGAGCTGAGACTCGCTGAGAGCAGCCTTCTGTTGGCAGCCCCAGTTTGCCCTCCCACATCCCTTCTCTCCCTCCCTGCCCTGCTCTGAGCCCACGGAGGTTGGCTGCGGGTGGGCCCCTCTGCTGGCTGGCGTCTGACAGGGTCAGGCCAGTGGGAGGCACTGGCAAGAGGAGAAGAAGGGAGAGAAAGCAGCGTGGCTTCCCTGCTCCCTCCAGGCCACAGCTGGGGCAGCAGCTACATGCCTCCATGAGGAGGCAGGCCCCTGCCCACCCCACCCTCACGGGGCTCCGCAACCCTCCAACCTGCGAGCAGCTGGCATCCCTGCCTGCCGGGTCCTGGTGCCTCGTACCCCTCCTCGACCTCACTCTTCTCTAAACAGAACCTTCGCCAACATCTCTTCCGTGAAACCTGCTTCCGGCCGCGACCGGGACACACAAGTCTGCCAAGAACAGGGTTAACACCAAGAAAGAACCATCTAGAAATGGAGAGAGTGGAACGAGCCAGCTTGAGGCTGCCTGACCTCTGGCCTTTTCATCGTGTCGCTCTGCTCTGCTCTTTAAGTCAGTTAGAGGGGCGTTTTCTATTGCTGGGGACAGAAAGCATCAGCCTCACTTGGAAGCAAGGCCAGTCTGGGGCACACTGGGGTGAAGCCAGCTGGTAGAGGCTGAGCGCCCGGAGACTGTCCTCAGCCCCGCCCTTGTATTAACTGAGCACCATGCTCGAGTGACTTCACCTCTCGAGTTGTCCCTGCCATTCCCAGAACATCCCCTGGCACGAAGTTCTTCGAAATCTAGAGTCAGCTCTGCCAAGGTCCAGAGCCAGTCTATGCCGAGGCTGGCAGGAGGGGACGTGCCAGCAGGTGGGGCCTAGAAGTGCTCTTGCTTCCCGGGGCCTGGCATCAAGGGTGCTGGGATGGCAGCTGGGAGCTCATCGACCCTGAGCCACCACGTTGGATTTCTGCTTCTTGGCTGGGCCTGTGACCCTGTGTTTGGCTCTGGTCAGCCCAGGTTTCTGGTCAGAATGCACCAAGGTCAATTGTTCGCCCGGCCCTGCCTGCGCTGTCTCCTCCCTCAGCCCTGGCCCCGCCACCTCAGATCCTCAGGCGTTAGATTCATAGGAGCACCGGTCCCTGGTGCCAGAAAGGTTGGGGGCCGCCATTTAAGTGCCATCTCCTCCAAGAAGCCCTCCCTCATTCTCAGGGTCACTTTCCAACAAAACCACAGCAGGACCCTGCCATGCGACTGTGACACCTGAATTAAAGCCACCCTGCAGTATCAGATTCCTTTCCATGGAGTCTTTTTTGTTTTGGTTTTTGCCAACTAGACCGTGAGCACTCTCAGGGCAGGGGCTGCGTCTTATCTTTTCCTATAGGTCCAGAAATCAGCACAAGGCCAAACAGCGGATCCCCAGAAAGTGACTGTGACTACACGGAGACTGAGTGAGCCAGCACGGGCAAGAGGGTCACAGAGTGGCAGAGAAACCGGGCCTCCGGTCTCAGACGCGGCTCAGCTGTGTCTCACCAGGCCGCAAGCCAGGCCCACCCCTGGGACCAGGAGTCACACCCAGCTGCTCCCTCCACCAGCCTCGTCCCCCAAGCCTCAGCACCAGGCCTCCCTGACCCCCGCTGAGGCCTTCCCCACCTGAGAATCTCAGTAACCTCCCCCACACCAGCCCAGCCCCTCTTCCCCTCCCCCGTGCCAGCCACATCACCCTCCAAACAGCTCAGAGACCGGGGGGCATCTCCGAGGGCTCCGGCTGAACAGCCGGGGCCTGTGGGATAGCAGCACCCGACCACCTGGAAATGGCTGACTCGGGATCTCCAGGCGCAGCCCCTGAGCTGTCTGTGTCCCTGCTCTCTCACCAGGACAAGGACCCCTCTTTCGCCTGCTGTGAGCAGATGCTTTAGCGAGCCCTCTGCAGGCACCAGCTCTCACTTCAACAGCCCTGGGGTGAGCAGATGTTTCCCAGTTACAGAAATGAAGACGCGACTCACACTTAACCAATCTCCACGACTCTCAGGGCAGGGTGGGTAGGGTCGGAACCCAGCCCTCTAATTTCCTCTCTGCCTCTGTGGCCTCCGACACCAGACGGGACACAACTCTGGTGACAAGCACATGCGGGTGTAGATGCAACCGGGTTTATGTTACTGAACCCACGAATGGGGAACTCAGGCCACCACTGCCACCCCCAATCACGCAGCTGGGGCCTCCCCTGACCTGGCCACATAGTCCCCCACTTCTCAAAGAGCCCCTTTTCTGGAAGGCTGGCCCCGCCCCCACCCCAGGACAGCGGCGCAGACTCACTTTCACACAGGCGGCGCCTCAGCTTGCCCCGGATCTTGTCGATGGCGTCGAAGTCGGACACGTGGAAGACGTGGGCGGACGTGGGCTCCGAGGCGATCTCCTCCAGCTCCTCCTTCAGCGCCTCCCCCACACCCACCGCGAAGATGCGGATGCCCGCCCGGCGCGCTGCCGCCGCGGGCTCCAGCACCAGGTCCTGGCTGCGGCCATCCGTCAGGAGGATGGCCACCTGCTTGAAGGCGCGGTCCCCGGGGCGGCCGCCAGCCTGTCGGGAGAAGCTGTGGCGGGTGATGTAGCGCAGCGCATCGCCTGTGTTGGTGTGGCCGCCGTGGTAGGCCAGGGTTCCTGCGGCCGCCTTGACCGCCTCCCTCGAGTCAAAGTGGCCCAGCTCGAAGGCCGTGGTGGGGTGGTCGCTGTAGCGCACGACCCCCACTCGGGTGTGCTCGGGGCCCACTTCGAAGGTGTCCACCAGGTTGGCCACCCACTGCTGGACCTTCTCAAAGTCCTCCTTGCCCACGCTGGAGGAGGTGTCCAGCAGGAAGACCAGATCGTAGTGGACACTTTTGCAACCTACAGGGGCAAGAGGAAGAGTCAGGTAAGGTGGATGGTAGTGGAAAGCCTGCTAGCCTTGGGAGACCTGGAGGCCTGCCTCAAACACCACCCAGTCTGCCTTCCGCTGGCTGGAGGCCTTGTCCAGCTGCCTGAAAGCTCAAAACTGTTTCCTGTCACATGGTGAGTGTCCCCAAGGTGCTGTGAGTTTCAGCTGACAATATATAATCTTACATGAAAGCGATTAACATTCATGGAACACCACTGTGTCAATTTCTTTAAATACTTGGTTACTAAGTGACCTCATTATTTTTTAAACCTGCTACAAAAAATGCAGGCCCGTTTCCGAAAGCTCAGAAAAGGCAATCAAAAAATGTTTGAAATGCTGATATTCCCATCTACACAAAGTTAACCACTGTTAACCACGGTGCATATATTTGATTATTTTCCATTTCCATATAGTTATTGATGGAAGGGGGACTGTCCCAGACACACTGATGTATAAGCTGTTTTCCCCACATCCAGCAACGTGCTGAGAACCCATTTCCAGTGTGATAATACCGGTTTCCATGGCTACAGAGAGTCCACTGAAAGGATGAACATAATTTATTTAGCCAGTGCTCTCTTGTTGGATAAACAGTTTTCTGTATTTCACTATTAGAATCCATATAAAATATTTTGCACTCATATTTTAAATACAAATTTATAGAATTCTATAAAGCTTTATAAAACCTTTATAAATATAAATTTTATATTAACTATACAATGCTTTTGATTAAATAAAAAATGGCACTATACAATTTATTTCTGATCCTCAGAACAAACCAGTGCAGAGAGCTTGCTCATCCCCATTTTACAATGAGATAATATATTTTCTAAACTCCAAGGGCCACACAAACCCAAGGGGTCTATCATGAGGCCCGGATCTTGACTTTTCCAGAATCTGGGGCTTGGTCATGCCAACAGCAGCAGCTGACCAGACCTCTGGGAACGCCCAGCATAGACCTTTGCCTAGTAAAAACAAAATGAAAACAAAACCCTCCAAAGCCCCATTTTGTTCAACTATCAACTTGGCAAAAGTCGCAAAGACCAAGGTAGGCAGAGTGAAGGGGAGGAGATTGCATCTGCCCGCTGGACAAGTGGCTGTGGGATCTGTCACACTCATTCTCAGGATCTTAAAAGCCTTATAAAGAAGAGTATCCTTTGATCCACCAATTCCAAATTTAGTGAATTACCCTAAGGAAACAATCAGATAAATGATAAGGCAAAAACAAGATATATAAGCAAGTTCATGGCAACATTGCCAAGCAAAATCCTGGAGACGACTTGCTTGATCACCCACGTGAAACTACTTAGTAAAAATCATCTTGTGTTCATACAGTGGCATGCCAGGCAGCCATGACATCCCTTCACAGTCAGGGATGGCTGTAAAGCAATCCTTATGACCAACAGGGATGCACTTTTTCAATACACCATTGGGTGTGAAAGCTGTGTGTCTGTGCGGGACTGTAAGTGGGCCTGAGACCCCCGCAAACGGCACTGCTTACCTCTGGCAAGCAGAACTATGAGTGAATTTTATTATTCTGTATTTCTAATTTTATATGTACAAGCAATGAATTAAGTTAAAAACACAAAAAAATAATAAAGCTATATATACACGCACACACGTGCACAAACACACATACTCCCAGATACTTCCCTGTCCTGCCCTGAGCCAGTACCACTCTCGAATATTCCACATGTACCTTTCTCTCTCGTTTTTAAAATCCAAGTAACAGCCAGGCTGTGGGGAGCCCAGGTAAACCCCACCTTCCAGGACTGAGCCCTAACAGGACTAGCGCTTTTGGAGAGCTTGCCCACATGCACGGACTCGGATAATGCCTGGGAGTTTTTCTCTTTGACATAAAAGATCATCCTTTTGTCTTTGGGACAATAATGTCCCAGTCTGTTCGGGGTAATTGCCGCTGCGGGCCGGGCAAGGCCCCGCTTTCGGGCTGTAAGCCTTGAGCAAATTTGTTTGAAGTCTGCAGAGAGTTCATTTGTTCAAAAGGCCCACCGAGGGGCCCCTGGGAGCTCCGGGTACATCGTCTCCTGGAGGCCAGAAAGCAGACTGGGCCGCGGGCACGTGAGAATGAAGTGTGATGCCTGAGGGCCCTGCCCCCGGGGTCGTGTCCCTGGCAAGGGCCATGGGGCGCCCGGCAGGCGACCGCTTCCCTCCGAGCAGTCTTGTACTCTAGGCGATGAGGGCACGGAAGAGACGGCCGTCGGCCTTCCCGCTTCTGACCTGGCTGATCCTGTGTGTCAACGACACACCCGGGGTCGGCTGGGTGGACACCAGAACCACCATGTCTCGCATGGAACCCAGGAGGTCCACAGCCATCGGCGTCTTCCCAGCCAGCCGGGCTTTGAGAGGCTCCGGCAAAGTAAAACACGTGAGAAAACTCTGGGACGATAGAGAAACGCAGACCTCCGGGATTTCTTTCGCTGTTGTTTCTCGCTTTCTTCTGAGGATCAGGGAACACCGGCTCCGGCTCCGCCGCAGGACTTCCCCGGGGTCCCCCCAACCTCGCCTGCAGGGAACTCCCAGCCTCTCCTTACCGCGGTTCCTCATCCGCAAAATGGGCGCGACGCTTTACGTGCGGGCGGCGCTTTACGTGCGGGCGGCGCTTTACGTGAGGGCGGGGCTTTACGTCCAGTGATCTAGTGGCGGATGCTCCCCCGGCCGCAATGAGTGGCGATCCTGGCCTGCGCCAGCTTCTGTCCTCCTCACGTCTCGGCGCCGATGGTGCCTTCTCCCGGGAGGCCCCGGGCAGGTGAGCGGAACCTCCCTGTCGGGTCTGGGCTCCTGCCCGGACCTGCTCTTGTCCACTAAACTTTGCCACGTTCTCCGTCTACCGCAGAGGCTGCCCTATGTTACCTCTTCTGGTGAGACCCAGAGTGTCCATTTCCCCCGGAATGACCCCAGAGCCTTCATAGGACAGGACAACACGAGAGGGCCCCAACCCCTGCGCGCCGTCCCCAAACCCGACAGGCACTTGGTATGGACAAGCTCGCAACTCACTGTGTGATGACTCAAGCAGGGTGTTCCGACAGCTCATTCTTTTTTCTCTCTCACATACACTGGCACACTCACACACATACTCACACTTATCACACGTACTCACTCTCACATAGCCTCACACACTCATACTTTCTCACACGCGTGCTCTCACACACACACATGCCCCTGCTGGATAACTGAATTTTACACACATTGGTTGGAGGACAGCTGACACCCACACGTGTTGGATGACCAACGCTCTCTCTCACACACAGTCACTAGCACACTCACAGGCACACACATGGATGTGCACTGACTGCTGTGTCTTCAGCCTGGCACAGCCTGTGGCAGCCCTACCTGCCCTCTGGGCCCGACAGCCCCGGTTCCCACTCCATAGCAGCAGCATCCAGAGAAGGCCGGCCGCAGGGTTCCCTCGCAGGTTGGCCATGGCTCTCTTGTGCTTGAGGACAGGCATCTCTTGGCCAGGAAAAGACGCGTAATAGATTTTACTGGAGCATTTCCTGTGTGGAGAAAGACACGTTTTTTTAGAGACAGCCCTTGAGCTGAGAAATCCCAAGAAGCAACCTCCAGGCCATGTGTGGGAGGAATCCACCCAGACCCAGTCTCCCAGCTTGTTTTCATCCCTCAGACCCTACACGTCTCACAGCCAATAGTATGACCCTCTAAAAGAAGACAGCCCAGTGTTACCGCCCCCTCCACTGACGCCTTCTATCCCCCATCCATCCATTAGCAAATGTGTACTTGGGACTGCCCAGCCCCATTGTTATTGACTGCCCGAGACTATGATTGTGGCACCAGCGCCACTGTTTTGATCATGTTTTCTACTTTTGGACGTTTAATAGGCTGTCTTATTAGTTTACTGTGTTATAGAAGGACATCTTTGTGCTTGTCTTTACCCATACTTAGTTATTTTCTTAGGGCAGGTTTACGGGAAAATACTTAGGGTGTCATGAGTTTAGAAAGCATCCTGATGTAAACTGTCAAACTGCTTTAAAAAAAGTGATATTGGTTTCCGCTGCCTCCAGCAGTGTAGGGGTGTGTACGGGTGCCCCTCTCACCGCACACCTGGCAGCATCGAGTGTTCTCATTCCTTCAGACTTTGCCACCTCCACGGGAGAGATGTTGTTTCTTGCTTCCTATGCGTTTCTGTGATCCATGAGGTTTATTAGCTTGTGTATTTAATTTTCATATGGATGTCCATTTTAAAAAGCATTTATCATTATTAATGCCAAGATCCAGGAAAGGGAAAACAGTGTATAGATTTCACCATTGATTTATTCATTTAACAGATATTTACCAGTGGCCCTCATGTGCCAGGTGCTGAGGGCAGGTAGACAGATGACACCAAATCTACCCTTGGTGGCACTCACTGACACATGGGAGACAAGGAAAACTTGGGCCAGAGTAGGGTGGGTTAAAATGAATGCAGATGCCTTCCTGGGCTAGCAGCAGCCAGGCTGGGTTTAGAAGGCATTCCTTAGTCCCTGGCTCCTCCTTCCATCTTCAAAGCCAGCAGTGGCCTATCACATCTTTGCCAGGTGGCCTTCTCTCTGATTCTCACTGGTAAGGACCCTGGAGCCCACCCAGATAGCCCGGGAAACCTCCATATTTTAAAGTTGGATGGTTAGCAACCCCAATGCCACCTGTAACCTTAATTCCCCCTTGCCACGTAACGTAACGTATTCACAGAGATTAAGCATGAACATCTTTTGTGTGTGTGATGACAAATCTATCAGATAAATTTTGCCATTTTAACCATTTTTAGCCTGCAGTTCAGTGGCATTAATTACATTCACACTTTATGCAGCCGTCATCACTATTTCCAGAACTTTTTCATCAATCCAGACTGAAACTCTAAGCATTAAGCAGTAACAGAAGATATCTTTCCATTTATTTAGGTTGTCTTTAATTTCTTTCAGCAACGATTAGTAGTTTTCAGTGTATAGGTCTTGTGTCTCTTTGATTAAATTTTTCCTAAGTATTTCATGCTACTTTCTTGTTGCTATTGTAAATAGAATTATTTTCTTAATTTCCCTTTTTGATTATTTGTTGTGAGTGTGCAGAAATGCAACAGATATTTGAATGTTGACATTGTATCCTGAAACTTCGCTGAATTTGTGTATTACTTATAAGAGCTCTTTGTGGTCCTTCAGGGTTTTCTACATATAGGATTGTGTCATCTGCAAATAGAGATAATTTTACTTTATCATTTCCAAGTCGGATGCCCTGACTTATTTTCCTTGCCTGATTGCTCTGGCCAGGACTTCTTCTCTACAATCTCTTGGTTGTGGTGTGTGATTCTTTTCATACATTGCATTTGATTTGCTAATAGCACGTTGAGGATTTTTACATTTATGGTCATGAGAGACATTGGTTTGTCCTTTGCTTTTTCTCAGAATGTCTTTGGTTTGGGGATTAAGGTAATGCTGGCTTCATAGAATGAATTAGAAAATGTTCCCTGTACTTCTGTGTTCCAGAAAAGATTGTAAAGAAGAGAATGGTCTTCTACCCAGGCATAAATGGAGCGATCATAATAAAAGTCCAGAGTGCGGCAGGCCTGGTACGGAAGCCTTATGGTCTTTAGCAGTAGGAACGAACATTTCATCTCCATGAAATGAGGGTGATCGCTACGCCATTGGGAGGAGGAGGGCATGCGGTGAGGGTTGCACAGAATAATTTCTGCAGAGCATGCAGCACAGATCCTGGCACAGGATCACATTTTCTAGGTACCCAGTAAATGGGAGATTTGGGGCAGCCTGTTTTCCCGCCCCCTCCAGCCTATCTCAGGTTGCAGCCCCTGCAAGCATGGGCACCACGTCTTCATCTCGCTCACCAGGCCCTGAGCTCTTTCCGGGGCATGGCTGTCCAGCTGGCATGACGTAGGCCACACCCTGTCCCTGGGAGGCAGAGTTGTGCCATTAGCCTCCAAAAGTCCGGCAATTAATTTACTGAGCTGAGTTCCTTCCACAAGCCAGCCCATCACCATAGTAACCAGCATTCCCTATTCAGGGACCCAGAGGTGGGGAGAAGAAAGACACTGAGCAGAAAGCAATTTAGAGGGAGAAAATGAGATTTGGCACGCCGCTAGGGCAGCCTGGGCAGAGTGCGAGCTCCATCTGATTCAGAGGGTCTGGCCGCTGCCCATTGTGGGAGGGGGCTGGGTGGAATGAGGCACCGCTGATGTGTTACTGGGGTGATGGGCGACGCTCTGGGCAGGAATCTGGGCAAGACGTGAAAGCATAGAGTGCCAGAGTCCAGACCCCTGAGCCGGCCCAGCTCGGAGCCTCTGGTGCGTGGCTGCTGAGCCGTCTGGGATGCAAACTGCACTTGCTGGTCCGAGAGTGGAAGAGGGCGCTGGGTGGCTTCTGTCTCTACAGGGCTGCCGGAGAGCCCAGCTGCCTGGGAAGAGCTAGAGGCCTGAGTCCTAGATTCAAAACTCGGCTCCGTGTGACCTGGAGCGAGTCCCCTTCGGTCACCAAATTCATACTGAGTGCTTTCTGTATGCTAGGCGCTGTCTAAGGCACTGACTCCTTCTGGGGCAGTTAGCATAACGATGAGGCTTCTCAGCCAGAATCCCCGTGTCCAGATCCTAATTCTGCCTCTGACTAGCTGTGCAAACAAGGGAAGTCACTTAACCTCTCTGGACCTCAGCCATGTCATTATGCCATGGGGATAACAACACCTATGTCACAGGCCATTGGGAGAATTAAATGAGTCGCTACATGTAAAAAGCTGAGAACAATACCTACTAGTGAGTGCTTAAAGCTTAGTATTTTTGTCATTTTCCAGCCCTGTTTCTTCACCTATCAAATGGGAACAGCACCCCTATTTTATAGATCTGTGGAGGAGATACATGAGGCAGTGGGCATGATAGCCCTTTATAAAGTAAGACGTTGACCATTACGGCCATGGTGGATGTGAAGGGGAGACTCAGCTGACACTGACTGTGTAGGGGTCCTAGTAACGTCATTTTTGTCATCTCCGATTCAGCCATGCCTTAAACGCATATTGCACTTACTAAGTGCCAGGCACGCATTCGAGTCCTTTGTCTGAGGAGCTTTCAGCCTCAGGTGGAGACGGACGAGCAAGTAGACACTTGCACTTCCACGTGGTTGGTGCTCTGACAGAGGGAAGGACAGGCACGTAACTCAGGCCTGAGAGGTCAGGGAAGGCTTCCTGGAGGAGACGACGCCTGAGCCGAGCCTGGAAAGATGGGTGGCGAGTAGGCAGGAAGCCAAGGGCTGCCGTCACCAGGAGCAGTCTGCCTCCCTCCCAGTGTCACCCATGGCATGAGCGAGAAGTGCAGTCTTTTGGAGGAGGGGGCAGAAGGAATGGTGAAAGCTCAGGCTGCAGAGGAAGGTGGGAGCACCTGGAGAGGGAGGCATCAAGTTTAAGGACGGAACGTGTGAAAAGGCAGTCCAGGGACGCGTGCAGTGACCCAGAGAAAGGGGTCAGACTTTGCCTCTGCGACCAGTGGATGTTCTCATCATGGGACCGGCACCTACTGCTGTGATTTAGGAAACCATGTTGAGAAAATTGGATAGAGTGGAGGGACCAATGAAGAGGTTAGTGCCGTGTCCAAGAATAACTGCCGATGACCGCCCCTAGAACAGCAGCAGGCCTCATGGTCCAGCCGCAGATTCCATACCAGGTGACTGGCAGACAGTGGAGGAGAGAGAGAGGGAGGAGGAGGCTCAAAGGAAGCCCAGAATTCCAGTTCGAGCATCTGGAAGCCAGTCACTGACGGCGATGGAGATGATAAGTTCAGGCTGAACAGAGTGAATTTGAGGCACCTGGAAGACAGCCAGGTGGAGAAGACAAAGGTAGACATTTGAGTCTAGAGCTCAGGAGAGTTGGGGCTGGAGATTCTCCTGGAAAGTGCAGAGGGAGGAGACGACAGAGCTCTCAGTACGCAGGCGAGCACAGAAAACAGCTGTGGCCTGCCGGGGTCTTTGGTCCCGCAAACGCGCAGGAACACCCATCCAGGCCTGAGGCCTTCTCCACTCAAACATTCCAAGATTCAGATGCAATCAGTTTAAGCCCTATACTGCCCGAATGCAGGACTCATTTGCCTGAAAGAAATGGAAATGGAGTGGGAAATGTGTTTTCCTAACCTCCTTCTTTATGCTATGGAATTTAAAACCATTTCCTATTGGTTATTCTTTTCCCTAAGAAGAGGCCAGATGTCAGTGTTTCTGTCCCTGTTGCTAAAAATTGTGAATGAAATTCAAAGCACATCCGTCTATTCTGGAAGCAATGAAGATGTCTTAAAGTGGCTCCCAAGGGACTTGAAAGGCACATCTTCATCCTAACGCCACCGCCCACTTCTTTGCTGTCCTGCAGTCTGTGGACTCACTGATTAACTAACTCAGTGAATACCTGTTGAGTCCCAGACTAGGTGTCGGTGGTGTTTTAATCATGGGCATAGCAGCATCCCTGCCTCCACCTTCCTTT